TGCTGGTAGGAGAGAAAAGTTGACGGAGAATCATTCACTGCCAAATACCTGATCACGGATCAATTTACCTAGAGCTCGATGGCATACATTTTGTGGGCATTGAGACTGCTGATAAAAGTGACAGGTTCTACAGGATGGACCAGTCCTGAGAATGATAAGTGGAGCCTTCAGAGCCATTTCGCGCCTGGAAGGGACTTATGTGTCAACGAAAGTGTAATTCCTTCTCGCGGTTGCGTGACTTTCTGTCAGAACAGTCTCTGTACCTTCTCAAAGGGAAGACTGTCACAGCTGATAACTTCTATAGCTCGATATCACTAGATCACACACGTTGGAACGGTGAACACATTATGTCAGCATCGAGTAGGAGTTTCCGAACAATTGAAGAGGAAAAGGTCTAAAAGAGGTGAAAGAAGCTATACTGGATAGATGTGGAGTGACCATTTTGAAATGGAAAGACTAAAGAGATTTGTGTTTGTTGCCTTCGCCACATGACAACTCAAGAGGGGCCGCCAACAAGCCGTGCATGTTCGAAGACTGCAACATACGATCGTATGTGCGATCCCGTACAAAACGCGTTACCACAAAATGTATGGTATGCGGGGCTTTCTATTATTTGGAATGCCTTCGAATGTGTTATAAACTGTTGTGTCTAATTCGTTTTGAAATACTATTGTTATTGTTGAAGTTCAGAGAATAATACTAACAAATTGTACATGAATATGGTGTATTGAGAACGTTGTGAGTTTGAAAGCAATGAAGCTATTCCGCTCCTGGGAACATGTGTTATTTCCCAAGGTTGTAAGTGTACAAGTGTATATCTGTACTACTTGAAATGCTGCAAAAATGAAAAATCATTTTGGTTGTGCGCCAATATGTGGCGCACGCCGGACCTCGGGCCCGATTAAGCATGCGCCGCATACCGCCCGTTACGTGTTGATGTCCAAAGGAGTACTCTAAGACTGCTACGGATAAGATAACAGGGAGTGTCCCCTCCCCGAATAGGACATTAACTCTACCTTGACCGATTTAGGAGCCGTATTTCATCCTGAAACCTTTTCCACGTTTCCACCTTTCCCTTCTAAATACATTTCGCTGATCGTTTACGCGATAACTGAAACTGGACGAGTTCCGCGATTGACTAGCTCTAATTGCTCTAGTGCCAATGAGCATTGAGCCGCAATGCTAACGCTGCCGCGACTGCGGCAGACAGCGGAAGGCGAGGCTTGCGGAGAAAGGTGTGGGTTGCGGGTCGACCGAAATGCTAGCGTCTTTGTTGAGCTTTTTCAAGCCACAAAAGGGGCAAGACATCAACGCTTGTCCTCCTATCTACCAGGATCGGGGATGAAATAGGTGAGGGTGTCTAATCCCGGAGCGTACCTTCAACACGTTGACGACATCGCGCGTTTTGGGTTTTTGCACCGCGTGGGACCAGAGCGATTTTGCGAGCGCCGCCGCCGCACACCAAATCCATGGATTTTGAGCTGTAAATACGCAATACTTAGATGCGATGAAGTGTTTTCAATAATGTTCGATCTGTCTAACTTATTGGGAGTTACAGTAATGGAAGTTCAACTGAAGCGACGTGTGAAGGCCATGAAAAGGCAAATTTTACTTGCTTTAGGAAGATATGTGTTTTTCTGAAACAACCGCGTCCAAAATCATGTCTGCACCTCTGAAAAGCTGCGAGTTCGATCCCTGCCGAGGCTCTAAACCATGCCTTGCAAAAATTGCAAAAATGGTTCTAGTACCAGCGTCAGGCCCAGGTTGACAGGCCGGCTGATGAACACCCCAGTCACACAAAACATGTCTAAGGATGTGATCAAGAAGGGCCTAAGTGAAATTACGGCCACTGCAGGAGATGAGATGCAGAGACAGAGCGACGACTGACAAAGACAGCGGACCCTGCGACTGCGCGGGACTAACGCTAAGGAGAAGAAGAAGAAGAAGAGACTCCTCATTTCAACATGTCTACGTTAATGAAAAGGAAACGGGAAATGAAGTGAACAGGATACCGCTTAGGTTCTGGAAAAACTCTGGCCAAACTAAAGATTACTTAGACTTTCTGTGAGCCATGGATTTTTAAGTATGCTAATGTATGACCTATAGAATAGTACAAAGAGCTTAAAATAAGTTGCGCAAGCGCAAGAAAAAGGGAAAATGCTTGGGTGGGACGCGTTACCGCGTCACAATGTCCCACGAGGTGCGCAAAGTGGGACGCGTTACCGCGTCACGCTGTCGTCAGCGACTGTAATAAGCTCTGTAATGTTTTTACCACGAAGACGCGTGGCCAGAGTGAGCAGGTCAAGCGAGGCGTCGAGGAAAATTTGGAAATACGACCCCCCCCTCCTCCCTCCCGCCAGAGGCTGAAGTCCATGAAACGACCTTCTTCAAAAGTTGAAAGGCTTGTTTAATTCTCCCCCAAAACTGTTCATAAAAAAGCCCTGCTACCCCACCGTCCACCAAAAAATTCGTTTTAAGAAGTACAAAAGTGAAAAAGTCAAAGAATGATCATTATTGATGAGTCCTACCAAACGAGCAAACGAGAAAAGGAGCAAAAAACGACAAACTAGCCACTAAAAATTCAAATAACTTCATAATAGGACAACATAACTTCTTTTTTTCGCAAGACTTACCAAATTTAGTAATACTACACAGAGTATGGTTCTCAATTTACACGTCCCCCTTCAGTTGAAAGAAGCTTTTTAACCGCCTTAGCCAGCTGTGTGTTGACTGATCTTTGGCGTTGACCGTGGAGCAGCTTATCTACTATTGAAATTTGAACAAATATTCAAATGATTATAACTTTCTTCAAATATGACGAATTTTCAATCTGAAAGCAGATTTGGGAGTTTTGTGAAAAGAGCTCTTTCTAACCAGTATTGAAATCACAGAAATTTATGAGAAATAACAAATTTAGATCAATTAACGAGGAAAATTCATGACAGAGCGCGAGTTTTTACACATTTCCGAACCCATAACTTGCTCCTTTTCGTCAAACCCGAAAAGTTAATATGTCAGACAAAACTAGAAGATTTTCTCTATCAAATGGTTGCTAAAGCAGCTTTATATGTCCACTATTTAAAAAATGGCCACGTTGAGGATTTTTGCAAAATTAACGAGGAAAATTGTGATGAGTGCGAGTTTTTCAAAACTCCGTTCAAGCTCATCCAATCTGAAAAGTTAATACGTCATACAAAACTAGAAGATTTGCTCTTTCCAAAGGTTACTAAAACTGCTAAATACGTTCACTATTTAAAAAATGGCCACGTTGAGGATTTTTGCCCGAGTGCCGCCGAAAGGTACTTTTTCGCTGCATTAGCACTATTCCAACGACTATAGCTCCTTTCAGGGGCGATTACACACTAAAGTAGGAGCAGATTCGAAATCCTCGTGCTTAAAAGTTTAAAAGTGTTTAGCGTGTCTCAACTTTAAAAGGTTACATGCTTGTGAATTTTACGCTGAAGGCTGCGTTTCTTGTTGAATGGCGCACTCCTCACTGTAATTTCACATGAACCCTTTCAGAATCCTCTTGATTCTTCCTGAATTGAGATTCTTTATCAAGATAGCCTGTAGCTGAAGCGCGCGCAACTAATTGAGCCCACTCTGGGATGTGCCG